CGCACAGCGCTGCGTGTTTCGTGCTTGTTGTCGTGAATGTGTTTGAAAGGGTCTGGCATCAGAGGAAATGAGCGACGTGTTTGTGTCGTAGTGCAGAGAATTGGAACGTGCTGTCGGGCTTTCCCACTTGTGTGCGTAGCTGGGCTTCGTTTTAAAGTAAAGCTGTTGTGTTTGGTGCTTCCATCTTTTGTCTGCCTTAACACATGATGTATGGGTCTCAGGAGTTCAGCTTGTTGGCATTTAGGGGACAGCAAGGTGCGTCAGGTAGAGGACAGCTTCCAGATCTGCCCTCAGCCCCGGGCAGGGAATGGCAGGGCTGGATGTGGCAGGTAACCGAGAGCCTGTGAACCCAGGGCTATTGTGCTGACTAACATGCATTGAGAAATACAGCTAGGAATAAGAAGAGGGGAATCTGTTTTGTTTGTTCTGCTTTAAATCAAATCTGTACTTATTAATAAGATTCTCATTAAAAATTTATCCGAGGTGGTGCCATTTTGCACCTCCCTCTTACTTCGGTTCGTAAATCAGCTGAATGTTAAATTATAGCTGAAGGTGTGTAATTGTGCTGCGTGTTGTTCAAAGTAATTACTGCGATGGAAGTTATAAAGATGGAGCTAAAAACAGCAACAAAACAGCAGAGAGGAATATGATTGCAAACAGTGTTTTCAGATAAAAGTGTTTGCCTTCCTGCAAGCCGTGCACTTTGCTTTTAGAGAAATGCATGCAACAGCTCCTCACCTTTTGCTCTGCTCGCACTTTACATTTGCAGACTATGTAAGCAGTTACCTGATTTTGAAGTTATTTGTTTATGTTAACATAAGGAGAAACATTTTCTGAACTGCAGCGTGTGAAACCCAGCCAGCTGCAGTGCTTAATAGCAGGGATCTCTTCCTGCCCCATTACATTGCAAAAACAAAACTCAGTCACCTGCTGCTTACTGGTAGCCCTGGTCAAAGCTGTGCGATTTTCTGGTAGCCAGCATGCCAGGAGTTTGACTCAATTTGTTGTGAGTTTTGGTTGTGTTTTGCGTATTTTGTTGTTGTTTCAGTTTCTGATTAACAAGAAGTGCTGTTAATCTCAGCGTTATGTTAGTTTTCTTTCCTGATTACTGGAGGTTTTGTTAGCCGAGAGAACTGTATTTCACAAAGGACGTGTAGTGAAGATTTCCAGGCACAAAGTATTGGTGGTAACAGCGGTTGGACCTGGCGGTGCAGCAGCAGTGCTGACATGAGGTGTGTGCTTCTCATCTCCTACTGCTCTGCTCGCAATGGCAGCTCCCAGGAAGGATGGTGATGCTCCTGGCAGGTTGGGTGCTTTACTTCAGAGCTTTGCAAGAGTAAAGAGGAACTGCTTTTTAAGTACTGGCATTTTATTGGTTTTCCCATTCCAGCCTTAACAGCTTATAAAATAAAGCCATGGCAGTTTTTGTGGAGACGTGGTTTCCTAGAGAGTCAGAGGAGATTTTTGTGTTCAAAGGAAACCCCGAACAAGCAACAAAAAAATTACCCCAAGATTTAATCGTATAAAAATATTTTCCTTTCATTATTTTTCCCGTTGGTGTAAAATCCTTGTGGGCTAAGTGTAACTTTGCTGCTCTCGGGTTATTTGCTTTGTAGGATTGAACTGCTTTTAGGTTAGAGAAAATGGAAAAACGTCCTTTGGATGTTTGCTTTTCTGGAAGCCTTGTATAAGAACACTTTTTTGGGAGCTTGTTCTGTGCTGGAAGTGCGTTATCTTTGTTTAGCAGCAAAGTAACAGCTCTCGCAACTTGCTGTTTATTTTGTGGGTTTTTAATCTGTCCCTTTCTTACTGTTTTTATAGCAGCGCTCGGTGTTAAAAGCAATTGCTGCAGTACCTTTTGGGAGGCTGTGAAGCTGCTGTCTCTGGAAAATGTTGCCTGTCTGGGGCTGGAAGAAAGCTGTAACTTCCCAGCAGCTCCTGCAGCTCGTTTGTTAAGGCAGGTCGTCAGGTCCCTGCTAGCTGCCCTCGTGTTGTAACAGATGTGAAAGCAGAGGTTCAGACCCCAGAAGCTGAAGGGAAGCAGGCAGAGCTTGTTGTTCATAGCTTTTAGGAGCAGCTTCTGTCTGGAATCTGCAAGGAACCATCCCTGAGTGCATTTTTCTTTTGTTGTTTTGTTGTTGTTTTTAATTTGATAACCCTGCTGCAGCACACGTCACACTGGGAAGGGCTGGATTTAGATTTGACCACTTTGTTTTTTGAGCATGTTCCTTGTGAGAGCTGCCAGCCTGAATCCCTGCCGAATCCAGAGCAGTGACTGAGCAGCACAGGGTAGCGTTAGAGCTGCTGTTAGTGGGAGCACTGTGTGCTGTGCACTGGAATTAGCACAATCCTTATCGAAGGAACCTCTTTCAGATTAGTCAGTGGTTGCTGTTGTTGAGGCCATAATCTGAATCCTGGCAACCACGCTTTTGGAAAGGAGCAAATACTGATTTGCAAGCCCTCTGAAAGTGGAATGTTTCTGAGCTGCATGCGTGCTGCTTTCTGGAGCCAGACGTGTGATGCTGCCCCAGCAGTGTGCTCAGCCCAGCTGCAGTACCTGACCGTTCTGGAATGGTCAGCTCTTACTCTGTGTAATTCTCTCCCTTCTTTGGTTTGTCTGTTTCTCTGGCTGCTCTTCCAAATCCCACTACTCATGCAATGAACCATTTTGCTCCCTGCTGAGGAATCTTTGGCAGCTGTTTTCTTGTTCTTCCTGCCATCCATGTGCACAGGGAGCCCTGCAGGTGCTGTGCCCTTTCCCTCAGCCTGCCCTGCGCAGCACCGCTCTGCTCCTGCACTCGCAGGTGGAGCTTCAGGTTCAGCTTTTGTGAGACCTTTTTATTGAAACTGTATTTCTAGCTGCTTTTAAATCTTCTTGACATGCCAGAAACATACTGCTGAAGCTCACCACCCACTGTGCTGAAAAAAAATCACACACAACTCCTCTTATCTGATTCCTTGGTTACCTCAACTTCTTATCTGCTGGCCTTGGCTGCTGCAGCTTTTTTCCTTTGTTTGTTTCTGCTCTGCTCCGAATGCTGCTTGGCTCATATTTTTGACCCCGTCAACCCAGTTTGGGTCATTTTGCAAGCTTCCTTTCTCCTTCCCTGCCTTATCTGGGATTCTGGGCTCTGTTTAACACCTTCGTAGATTATCAGGTAAATTTTCTGCCTTCTTCCTCAGCTCTGTAAGCGGTCAGTTTCGTGCAGGTGTAACGTGAATGCTTTCCTTCTTGCTGGCCATTGCATGTGGGGGCAATAATCGGCATTGTCTAACCAGCTGCTTCATGTTCTCTTGTCAGTTTGTCCTGTAAATGCCCATTGTTTGGGTCTTTCTGTGAACACCAGGCATGTCCTGGAATTGTGAGCAGACAGGCAGTGAGCTAAGGCTGTGTTCCCATCCTTGCTTTAAAGTGTCTCCAGTTGGTTTTGAGATGAGATGCAGTCTGTCCTGGGTTAGTGTGTTCATTCTGTATCCCGATAACCTGCGTGAGGCAGCTTAATAATCACAGCTCTCGCTTGCAAAGCCACAGGTGAAATGTGTGAATAATGAGACTTTGTTCAGGAGAGCTTTTTCTATTCTTGGAATAATTTTTTCACAGTGTTGGAGGAGTACCTTTAATTGGAAGCAGTTGGAGGAGCTAATCACACCAAAATATTTGTGATTCAAATCAATGCATGTTAGTCATCCACTGTTAAACAGCTTATTTGGGAGGTTTGTTGTATACATCTTACCCTCAGAACAGTCTTGCACTTCTTACTCAAATCTGATGTAGATTAATTGGTTGTAAAAATCAAAGTCATGTTAGTACAGATTTACGACAAGTAAAAGTAATTGGCATCCAAAATGTGTAACGTATAGCTGCTTTCTTTAGATCAGCAGTTGGAAGAAGTGTTGTGCAGGTGGCCTCCACCATGTATCCCCAGGATGGGACTGAATTACTTGCCATGAGGTTCCCATTAAAAGAAACTAAAAGGAGAAATCTCTACCAAAGCGATTGGGATGGAAAGTAAAAGCAAAAACTGGACTAAGCTGGAGTCCTTAGTGTGAAAATGGTTGTGTCTTTCAGTGTCATTTCGCACCCTAGCAAGCAATTGGAGGTTCAAGAGCTTCTTTAGAAATTGTTTGATTAGCCTCTTTGTTTGAGGATAGGTATGAGGTGTGTATTACATGAGGTACGTGCTCTGAAGACTGCCTTCTGAATATCTGTGCAATACAGCATTAGTTTCATTGGGTGGGGGGTGGACTTTGGACGTACTTTGGATGATATGTGCAGCTAAAAAGCACATCTAAATCCCTTGTAAATCCTTTAAGAGCTGATTTTCTTGACCAAACTGTTACTGTGAAACGCCTATGTGTTCTCTGCTATAATGTAAAAGTTACAGTAGCAGTGTTGGAATGCATAATTGATGCTGTGTAGTGAAGATGGCTGTCAGTGTTTGTTCCTTTATTTACTGGAAGGGCTGAGAATGTAAATGAAGTGTGAATGGAGTGTGTGGATGCTGTTGTGGCTGCAGTGTGTGCAATGGCAGGAAGACGTTTTACGTTTTTCTGCTGGGTGCTCTGAGAACTGAGTCAAAAAATAAATTTCACAGATCATCTTCTGCGTTTTTCACAAATTTGCTTCTTAGATTTTTTTCATGGAGGTCATTGTGTTTGCTGTCTCTATTTATGGTGTGTATTATTATTTTAATTATATACCACTGCATGTAAAATGTTTTTGTGTCTTCTAGAATGGAATTATTCCATTTTAATTGAGAATTTTAATTTAAAAAAAAAAAAAAACAGCAACAACACAAAAAGTCGAAACATGAACTTAGTATTTAGTTGTACTGAAGAAAATTGCTGTATCATGTTAGAAGACATGCTTGGAATCTTAGGACACGTTACATCTCAGTGCAGGGCACAGCACTATAGCTAGTGATGTAAAACTGTAGTTAACTGTGTTTTTGTGGTGCTTGAACCATGCACTCATTTTCAACCTTTTTGGATCCTTTCAGATCTCAGTCACAGTGGATTGGGAGACCATTATGAAAATTCCCACTGGGGACAGCAGCCCACTTTCAGGAGTGAAGGCAACTGCAGCTGGGATAAAGTGATAATAGACAGGACTGACAAGGAAGCGTGGCCTTCCATCACAGGAGCTGAGACTGAATCTGCCTCAGAATGTACTACAGACACTGACTCTGCCTCCAACTGTGGCTCAGAGAACAGTAGCATGGCTACAGGGAGTGCCCAAGGCAACTTCACTGGACATACAAAGAAAACTAATGGCAATAATGGCGCCAACGGAGCACTCGTCCAAAGCACTTCTAACCAGAGTGCCCTTGGAGCTGGTGGAGCCAATGGTAACGGCAGCTCGGCCAGAGTGTGGGGCATGGCTGCAGGCTCTGGCTCTGGCCTAGCTCACTGCTCTGCCAGCGGTGGGGATGGCAAGATGGACAACATGATTGGAGATGGTAGAAGTCAAAACTGCTGGGGTGCTTCCAACTCAAATGCTGGCATTAATCTTAACCTTAACCCTAATGCCAATCCAGCTGCCTGGCCTGTACTTGGACATGAGGGAACTGTGGGAGCAGGCAACCCTTCCAGTATTTGCAGTCCGGTCAGTGCCATAGGTCAGAACATGGGCAACCAGAATGGGAACCCGACAGGCACCTTAGGTGCTTGGGGAAACTTGCTGCCGCAAGAGAGCACAGAACCACAAACGTCCACTTCTCAGAATGTGTCTTTCAGCGTACAACCTCAGAACCTTAACACTGATGGACCAAATAACACTAACCCCATGAACTCTTCACCAAACCCTATCAATGCAATGCAGACAAATGGACTGCCGAACTGGGGGATGGCTGTTGGTATGGGGGCCATCATCCCGCCCCACCTGCAAGGCCTTCCTGGTGCTAATGGAACATCAGTTTCTCAAGTCAGTGGGGGCAGTGGTGAAGGAATGGGCAGTTCAGTTTGGGGGATGTCCCCAGGTAATCCTGCCGCAGGAAACAGCAATTCTGGGTTCAGTCAGGGGAATGGAGACACTGTGAACTCAGCATTAAGTGCTAAACAAAATGGATCCAGCAGTGCTGTGCAAAAGGAAGGAAACGGAGCGAGTGCTTGGGATTCAGGGCCTCCGTCTGGTCCTGGGGTACTGGCGTGGGGCAGGAGCAGCGGCAACAGCGGTGTTGGTAGTGTGCATTCTGGAGCTTGGGGCCACCCCAACCGTAACGCCAGTAACGGTGTCAATGGTGAATGGGTCAAGCCCCCAAACCAGCATTCCAATAGCGACATCAATGGGAAAGGATCAACGGGGTGGGATAGCTCTAGTGTTACCAGTCCGAATCCTGCCATGCAGCAGGGCAACGAACAAATAAACTCTTGGGCCAAAGCTGCAGCATCTGGCACCACAGCTAGCGAAGGAAGCAATGACAGCGGTGGAAGTCAAAATGAAGGCAGTACTGGGAGGGAGGGGGCTGCAGAAGGCAGGAGGAGAGACAAAGGGATGATAGACCAAGGGCAAGTTCAGTTGCCAAGAAATGACCTTGACCCCAGGGTCCTGTCCAATACAGGGTGGGGACAGACCCCTGTAAAGCAAAACACTGCCTGGGAATTTGAAGAGTCCCCGAGGTCTGAACGAAAGAATGACAATGGAACGGAGGCCTGGGGTTGTGCAGCTACTCAATCTTCAAACTCAGGGGGGAAGAACGATGGGTCCATCATGAACAGTACAAATACCTCTTCAGTATCTGGGTGGGTCAACTCTCCACCTGCAGCTGTTCCAACAAATACAGGTTGGGGAGACAATAACAACAAAGCACCAAATGGCCCAGGGGGGTGGGGAGAGTCAGCAAGCTCTACTACTGTTAATAATGCTGCTGCTGCCAAAAGCGGCCACACTTGGAGTGGGACCGCAAATCAGGAGGACAAATCACCTACCTGGGGTGAACCTCAGAAACCCAAATCTCAAAACTGGGGAGACGGACAGAAATCAAATCCGAGCTGGACTTCAGGAGGTGGAGATTGGACAGATTCATCGTCTGTTCCTGGACACTTGGGTGATGGGAAGAAGAATGGATCTGGGTGGGATTCTGACAATAGGTCAGGGTCTGGATGGAATGATTCCACGAGGTCTGGGACCAGTGGGTGGGGAAATGGCACAAACAGCAAGGCTAATACAGGTACAAGTTGGGGGGAATCTTTAAAGCCAGGCCCCCAACAAAATTGGGCTAATAAACCCCAGGACAACAGTGTGAGTAACTGGGGTGGAGCTGCTTCTGTAAAACAGACGGGGTCGGGGTGGGTTGGTGGGCCAGTGCCAGCCAAACAAAAAGAGAACTGTGAGGCAACTGGCTGGGAAGAGCCATCTCCACCGTCCATTCGCCGCAAGATGGAGATCGATGATGGTACCTCGGCTTGGGGCGACCCAAATTACAACAACAACAAGACTGTAAACATGTGGGATAGAAATAATCCTATCATTCAGAGCAGTACCACAACCAATACCACCACCACTAGCACCATTATCAACACAAACATGGTTGAACCTCAGCCATCGCACCAGTCAAGTGCCCAGCCGAACCGGTCCCCGCTGCTTGGCCCAGGTATGACAGCACTTTTGTAAGCTCCATTGTACCGGTACCAGCATTACTGAATGCTCACTGTGTAACTGAGTGGTAAAGATAGGAATGCTCTGTTTATATCATAGCATAAATGTTTGTATGTACTCTGAAACAGCGGTGTGAGCTGCTTGCCTTGAGTACAGAACCCATAGAACCTGGCAGACACATTTCCAAAGTCCAAACTCCTTATTTCCAGTTCTTTCTAGACACAGGCATGGTATTTTGTGTTTCTGCCAATTTCTACTGCCTGCCGTCATCTTTTTGGCAGCGCTGCTCCGATGAATCTGAGAATAGTTGCAGTGTGCTTGCAGCATGTCCTGGTGAGCCATTTCCTGAGCTGTGTGTCTGGGTGAACCCGCTGGCTTTACCTTTGTGCTGTAGAGATTTTTTGGGGGAGTAGCACCAGAGAGAAGGCTGGCTGGCTGTGCAGGGAAAGTCAGAGCAGCTCTAGCCAGTATCAGGCCACTGAAGCTCTGGGTCCTTGGCACGTTGGTCCATATTTTCATTGTAAGGTCTTTCACCATTCGTTAGCACCGTCCGCTCTTGGAGAGCTGGATGTCTTTTTGCTAACCTCTCTTCTGTTATTTGTCTTCTCTTACTATTACTCAGTCTTTATTCTTGTTTAGACGCTGAGCATCTGTTTCTTTTCCACAAACCCTATCTCTTGGCAGCAGATGTTTTTTTGGCTGTTGCATGAATCCAGCCTGGTGCTGTTTCTTCTGTTTGCTGTCATTTGTGGAGAAACGGTTCTCTTCCATCCTTCAGGTCTCAAGCATGGACTGTAGCCTGGGCTTTTATGAGGTTCTCGTAAAGCTGGATTGGTTAAAGATGTTAATATTCAGGGTGGCTGAAAAAAGCCATTCCACTCCAGTTCTGTTCCAGAGACAAGGTTTTAAGCGTTGTTTGTCTGAGAAGAGCTTGGGATTTTTTCTAATGGAAGAGAAGGTGCTGTTGTAGACGAGCAGCAAAGAATAAAAATAGGGGGGAGGTACAGAGAAAAAATTGTTTAGAGGACAGGTATTTAAATAAATGTCACTGGAAGCCCTGCTCTGTGTCTCAACCACAGACATCTCAAATCCAATCTTGCAGTGCTCTTTAATATTTCTCGTTTGATTTTGTGTCCAAGTTTTTGTTTTGTCTTGGCCATGCTTAAATATTGGCTTTCTAACTGTGCTTCTCTCCAAGAGAGATTTGTTCTCCTCCTTTTATTGCCATCATTTTTTTTGTCTTTGATGTTGTGAAATAATTCCAACTTAATGTAATGTCTCTATAAAAGTAGTCTCATGTTCCTTACTCCAGTCAAATATTTTAACAGTTGAGGATGTCTGTTTTTGTCAAATAATGGGCTCCAGAAAGAGGAATCTCGTAAGAGGTTTGTACGTGGCCACGCTCCATTTACCATTTACCTTAAACTTATTTCATCTGTATTGAGACCTTCAGCCATGAAACTGAGATCTACCATTTCTGGATTATAGCAAAGGTGTCCTTTCTTAGCGTGGGTTGGTTGGTTGGTTGGTTCTCCCTCCATAAGCTGATTTTTGGATGATTCCATGTGTTTCTAAAACTCTTGGTGTGCAGCGGTGCCTCTCAGAGATGGTAGCAAAGGAAGAGTTTCTTGGAAGCAGTGTGGTTGTGCAGTCAGAAATGCATATTAATTTGAAGCCACCCACTCAGGCTGCCACATGACTTGGTTGAAGTGACCGCATTTTGCATCTTGCAAAGATTTTCATTAGAAATAAGATGTTCTAAGATACTAAGCTAGAACAGCTTTCAGAATGTAATGAAGATAGAATGCAAGAAAAAAGGATTAAAAAGAAAAAAAAGAAGTAAGTAATGAGTGATTTTCCTTCCTCACAGACAGCAGTGAGATGCAGGGTGCTGTCGTACCATGTAATGCTATTTTTTTTAACCCCAATTACCCTTCCAATTGATGGGGAATATCCCTTTCCAACCTGTGCAGCAGGGGAAACAAGTCCTGTAGCCAGGACACTTCTGTGAACCAAAGGCACATTTATCCAACATGTCCATTATTTCTGTGCAAAGCTTGATTGTATAATTAAAGGCTGTGCCTTAGGGCATAGGTAAGTGCTCATCTGAGATCTTCCAGCATTTGAACTGAGTAGTTACCACTGGAATTTGGTCTTCCACCTGGATCGTGATGTGCTTTGCCAGTCATGGTTATCATTTATTGCAGGGAATGGCTCAGGTAATAAGGAATCCCCGTTCTGTTCCTGTCTCAGTAGGGAAGCCCGTTGTGTAGCTGTAGGATGGCACAGTCACACACTGACAACCAAGAGGTGGCTGGTGGTTTTGCTGTACAGAACTAGGTAATGATTCATAAAAGAGTAGCAGTTCCTTTTGAAATAGAAGTTTATGCTGTGTTAGCTCAGAAATGCAGGCCAAGTTACAGCCTTGTTATTCGAGTTGTCACCCATCCTCAGAAATTCTCAACATTCTTTGCAGAGCTTAAAAGCTGTTGATGGGAAGCAGATGTTGGTACGCACTTCATGAAACGCATGTGCTCTGAGAGTTTCTTTTTGTGTTGTAGATAAATGCACACAAAAACCAGGATAGATAAATGTACTCCTTTCTGGTTGTAGGAGCTCCCTCCCAAGCCAGCGGTGGGTTGTTTAGAAAGACAAAGTGACAAAACAGGGATGAGTGAGAAAGAGATTTTTGGATCCCAAGCAGTGAGAGATCTTTCCTGCAAATGCTAGGAAGGGCTGGATGCTCCCCTGTGAGAGGGGAGATATTGGGTAGGCAGACTGACAGGATTCCAGCAGCCAGGCCTCCATCTGAGCAAGGAAGCCAGTCGAAGATAACGCAGGCTTTCCTATGGAGATTTCATGTTGAAAATCAGAGCCTAGAGAATGAGCAGCTCAACTTTGGAAAAATCTAAATGAAGTCTGAATTCTTCTGCTGCTTCTGCAATCTCCTGCTGTTCTGCTGGCAGCAGCTCCAGTGCCACTTACAGTCTGTGATTTCCATGGAGCAAAAGATGGGAGCAGTGCATCATCCTTTAAACTTCCATCCACTCCTTCAGGGCGTTCATTTAGAACCTAAAATCCAGTTGTGGGTACTCAGCTCCCTGACAGTTCTGTTCTGGGAGATGGCCAGGTGTTGCAGAGAAACCTGACCTCTGCTTTCTTGCAGCCATGACTTTGCTGAGAGCCAACTAAGAGCTTCCCCAGAGCCGAGCCATGCAAGAAGGCACTGAGCCCCACTGCATGAAGCTAGCAGGAGATGGGACCTGAGGTTAAAGGGTGCAGGAACCTTCCCGTGGCTGCACACATGGCTGTACAGTGCTGCAGCTTGTTTATTCGCTGCGTGAGACTAATGATACACTATCTTTTTTTCTCCTAAATCTCCTCCATCTCCATCTGCATAAGGCTCTCATACTTCAGTTTGCCTCACTGTAGTCATACGCTCTGCTATGTATCACAGACCAAACGACTTCAAGGAGAACAGTTTCTATCATCTAAATGGCTATAGGGTTATTTTGAGGGAAAACAACTGCATCCTGCCATAACTCAGTTAACATTTCACTTTCCCTGGAGGATTTCCTGCTGGCTGAGGCCCAATGTTAATTATGTTTTTATTTCTATAAAACAAAACTCTGCCAATGTGGCCGTATTCATTACTCACTGTGATCTCTTTGTTTCTTGCAATTCTAACAGTTGAAAAAGTGCAGTATTAATGCTTCACTTTCTTGCCAAGGAGCCCTTTAGCAGAGGTTATGCTGTTGCAAAACAGCATTCATGCAGAGACATTTGTTTGTAGTTTTATTTTTTGTTTTAAAAGCATGGGGCTTTTTCTTAGAAAAGCCTACATGTGTGTTGTTTTCAGAGAGGAAAATAGTAAGAATTTTTGAAAGTGGAAGACTAGCTGAGATTTGAGACAGTTACGAAGGTGTTTTGCTTCCCTAGGGCTGTGTAAGGGAGCTTAGAAGTAGCTTTGTGTGTTGCTTCAGCCCTCTGCAATAACATTTGGGATCTGCTGCACTGGGACCGCAGGCTCTTTGAACTTACGTCTGTTTCAGATACGACTCATGCTTGATGTTGTAAAAATCCAGGAAAAACCTCATTAACAAATCACTCTTCTGGAGGCTGCAAAGCAAGTATCTTCTTTCCACTTCAGGATTTAGCATCTGCTTGAATATGTAACCTTACCTTCCTTGTTAAGTTTGTAAAGCAGAGCCATACAAAGGTGATGCAGACAGTGATGTGAGCAGAGGGGTCCTTACCTCAGAGGGGAAAATGGAGCTGGAATTGGCACGTCTTTGCAGCACTCAGCATCCTTCAGCTTGTATTTGTTTAGTTCCTGCACTGAACTTGATTTGGTGTGACACTGAAAACTTCCATTTAATACATTTTGTTTGGTGTTGGGTGCCTTCAAGCATGATCTTTCAATGAAGCCTGGCTCCCTCGGTGTTTGTAATCCCATATTACTTCTCAGTGCATTTAAAGAACTTAACTTGGACGTTGCATGTCCATGGTCTTCACTCAAAATTCAGCGTAGATTAAAGAGCAGCAGCAGGACCAATTCTTTGGGATTTACAGTCTACAGCTTATTACACTTTGCCTTTCTCATACATGAGTTCTGGTTTAAGGCTGATTTTGGGAGCTGAAGTGTTTCCTTCTTAACGAGTCCTGTTTCCATTTTGTGAGCCAGAAGCTACAGATGGGCAGGGCCTTCATTCATTGGAATAAAGCACATGCACTTAAATAACATTCAGCTCCAAAAACGCTTTTCTCAAGTGCTGATGTTCAACAAAACCACTGAACTCCTGAGTGCAACAAAAGAAAGGTTAAAAAAAAAACAGAACACAAAACGTTGGGACAAAAAAACCCTTTTTGTAAGAGGTAAGGGACGCATTAAATTCCAATTCCAATTCTGTTGCATTGCTGTGTGTTACTCTGTAGGTTGCAGAAGCAGTTCCTGGCACACACAGCTCCAGCACTAAGCCCATTGGCACATGGATTTAAGCGCATTACGTTCAAGGCAGACTGAGGCAGCTTCTTCATAGTAGCTTGTGTGTATATGGTAGCTTCTTTATAGTGGCTTTAGTGAGTTAAAGTAATACTCTGCAGGAAGGCAGGGGCTGCTACCTGCCAGTCCTCATTCTAATTGCAGTCTTGTCTAGTTCTGCTGTAAAAAAATAAAAATAAAAATATTTTTTTTTAAAAAAAAAAATATATATATATAAATATATATATATATAAAATTGATTGTTGCACAGAGCCTCAGAGAAGGGGCAGGCAGTGAACACAGTCAGCCACAAGCTGTAATAAGAGCTTTAGGGAATGTTATCTACATATGTAATCTGTGTTGAAAGTGTTAGCAAGTAAATAATGTCTTGCATACAAGTGTGAGAAAAGAGAAGGACTTTCGAGACTAAACCAAGGAGATTTTAAAATCTATTTTATTATAGACTCATAGAAGGGCCTGGGTTGCAAAGGAGCACAGTGCTCATCCAGTTCCAACCCCCTGCTGTCTGCAGGTCGCCAACCAGCAGCCCAGGCTGCCCAGAGCCACATCCAGCCTGGCCTTGAATGCCTGCAGGGCTGGGGCATCCACAGCCTCCTTGGGCAACCTGTTCCAGTGCCTCACCACCCTGTGTGAAAAACTTCCTCCTAATATCCAACCTAAACCTCCTCATCTCAGTTTAAAACCATTCCCCCTTGTCCTATCACTGCCCACCCTTGTAAACAGCCGTTCCCCCTATTTATTCAAGTATTAGAAGGCCACAATGAGGTCTCCCCGGAGTCTTCTCTTTTCCAAGCTAAACAATCCCAGTTCCCTCAGCCTTTCTTCATAGGAGAGTTACTAATTATAGTTAGAGTAACTAGTTGTAGTTACTCTATTAGTTACATGCTCTTTCCAGTTAAAGGCTCGAATAAAACGTCCGACTTTGTAATGACTGACAAAAGAAACCTCATCACTTTTCCTCCTTGCCTCGTTCCAGCAGGCTGGGGAGAAATGCCTAACGTCCACACGAAGAGTGAAGCTTCTTGGGGAGAGCCATCCTCCCCTTCTGCTGCAGTCGATAACGGCACGTCGGCGTGGGGGAAACCCCCCAGCAGTGGGACGGGGTGGGGAGAGAGCCCTGCAGAGCCAGCGGGGACCTACGGCAGAACAGCCGCTCCAGCTGCTGCCCCAGCACTGTGCAAACCAGGTACATGGTGGGCATCAGGGTCTGGGGACAAAAGAAGGCAAAGGTGTTTGCTGCTGCCAGCATCGGCAGGCAGGGCTTCTCGTTCTCTTGTGTGTTTAATTCGGAATTTCTTAATTTCATTTTCGGAACTCTTGTAGGTCTCTCGAAACATTCTGATACCAGATTCTGATACCAGATACCAGATTCATTTAAAAGCATAAATTTAACAAACTCGTCCAATAAATTTAAGTGCGTTCCTTAAGGGTATTTTTTGCATTCTTTAAGGACAGTACAGTGTAAATAACAGGCATAGGAAAGAAGGAAACTGCAGGACTGAAGGAAACCTGTACTAGGGAGAGAAGAAACTGAGCTCAGTCGAGATAGGATCGACTTTGGTAAGGGAAGAAGCACATGAAAGTGACTGGCCATGATGTCACTCATCCATTAAACTGAAAGACTGGATATGTGCTTCAGCTGTTATGGCTGCTCACAGGCTCGGGAGCACCATGAGCTGCTTTCTGGTTCTTGATTTCTAACAAAAGTTATTTGATAAAAATCTTAAGTCTCCAACTGCCCTGAAGGCTGCAGGTCTGGTTTTAAACTAACGTTCAGGTTGTGGTAATCTTTAAGTGTTATTGCTGCTAAATGCTGCAGTGAGAGACAGTTAAAAGTCCCAGAAAACCTGAAAAGAAGAACGAGAGGTCTTAGAATGAGTAATCTCTGCTTTAAGCAGAAGAAACAATAAAACAGGTTGAGCTGACGCAGCCTTGTCACTTACTGTACAGTGTTCCTTGCAGCCTGCTTGCTCCTTTCAGACCTCATTCTTCTATGATGCATTTCTGGCCATTAGTAACCTTGCAGTTTGGTTTTGTTCAGTGGAAGAATGTGGTGGCTGAAATTGTGAGGTTCAGTGAAAGCAAAATTATACACAACAAGTGTGTGGTCATACTTCTGGCTCCTTGTTCCTAGGAGACAGGAAGGGTCACAGATCTCTCTTGCTTAGGAGAAAGGAAGATTTGCCATTGCTGGACTTTTTCCTTCTGTAGCTCTATTTAGAGCACTTCTCTTTTTTGTTAGCTTCAAAGGAGGAGTCCTTATCATTTAATGCCAATTAAGCTATTTGATGAACCTCTATATCTCTTGAAAATACTTAAACATTAGCATGTAGGCTATGGTATAAAAGTCTGTTTCTGTAAAATTTGCATAAAATTGAGTCTGATTTTTTTCTCCCTCTTTCCCTCCAGCTTCAAAATCTATGCAAGAAGGCTGGGGCAGTGGTGGGGATGAAGTGAATCTCAGTACTAGTCAGTGGGAAGATGAAGAAGGAGATATGTGGAATAATACTGCTTCACAAGAAAGCAGCTCCTCCTGTAATTCCTGGGGGAATGCCCCAAAGAAAGGACTTCAAAAGGTAAGAAAAAATAAAGATGGTCTCTGGGAATGAGTAGAAGTACAGTGCAGCATTTCTGGGATTCGTTGTTAGAAATGTTCTCTTGCATTACATCTGGCAATAAATACACCCCTGCACCAGAACACCAACGCAGCTCACTGCTTCCATATTGGAGTACAGCTTACCTTGTTTCCAGGGCAAGTCTGAAGAAATGGTGATGTGTCAATGGGAAAACTGTTACGAGGCCTTCAGCCACTTTGTGTGGTGCTAGAAAACAAACAGTAGTTTGTGATGGAGTAGCCCAGCAAAAAATACCTGTTTTCTGTATGGAGAAACAAGTAGATAACTTGAAGGTTTGTATAGGTATGAGAAGGAAGCAGTTCTGTACTGATGGCACGCTTAAGCAAGACCATACCCAGTTACATTAGAACGTCTTCTGTTGTGTGTACCTCATTCCAGGACAAGGGAAGCCTGGAACTTGCAGAAATGAGGGATGCATTTAATCAATCCACTTACTACTCCATTACCCAGCACAGATGTGATCAGTGTAATGATTCAGTCAAGCTTGTCAGATTTTTTATTTCATTGTGGTTCTCTGCCAAAGATTACCATGAAATACTTAAATTCAAAGGTGGCTTTAATTCAGTGGTCATCCAATCAAATAGGAAGTGGCACATGGAGCACCTGTTGAACAGAGGTGGAGTTTGATGATGATTGTAGAGTTTGGATAATTTGTAGGGGAAGGGAAAAAAAAAGTTGCAATGATTGTAGGGTTCTGAATACTTTTTAAATTAATGTACTGATATATCTTGAAATAGTATGCACTGTTAACAAGAAAAACTGCTTGTGTACTTGATTTACATCTCATTAGTACGGGTATGGGAAGCCAACCGTTAATGGAATCTTCTGCTTGTTTACCAAGGGCATGAAGACATCTAGCAAGCAAGATGAGGCCTGGATCATGAACCGCCTGATAAAACAGCTCACAGATATGGGCTTCCCTGTGAGTAGTGCTCGCAGCTCAGCACACCTGGGGCTGAGCTGTTGTTAGAATCGTAGAGTCATGGAATGGCCTGGTTTGAAAAGGAGCACAATGATCATCTGCTTTCAACCCCCTGCTGTGTGCAGGGTCACCAACCAGCAGACCAGGCTGCCCAGAGCCACATCCAGCCTGGCCTTGAATGCCTGCAGGGATGGGGAGCTTGAACTCCTTGTTTTTCAGTGTTTCAAACTGTAACTACAGAAAGATGATGCCGTGTTCAGACTGGGAAGCAGTTCTGTTACACAATTAGAAATTTACTTCAATTTCAGGAATCTGCCATAAGCCAGCAGAGTGCTCTCTGAGATTGCTTGATGATATTTATAGAACTTAGGAAACCGAGAGTTTTATGGTGTTACTTTGAAATTTGGTAATAATTCCTTATTAAATAGAAGAAACGAGAATAAAGCTGTATTTTTAAGGATGGGCACAGAGTAGTAATGTTTAAGTTAACCATAGAAAACAGGAAGAAATTGGAATAACAGAAGACCGTGGCTTGACCTTGTAGAAGTGGTACACAGCTAACAAACTGAACTGCTGTGAGAATTAGTAAAAGCAGAAGAAAAATACACGCAGACGTTTGTGTCACTGAGTAAATACTAAATCCAGAACTGTGATGTGTTTTCTCAGTTTTCTTTGAAATCTTATAAGCATGATGAGTTCTTGTCTTAACGTGACCTGTGTTTTTGACAGAGAGAACCAGCGGAAGAGGCCTTGAAGAGCAACAATATGAATCTCGATCAGGCCATGAGTAAGTGTCTCTGCAACTGATTTTTTTTTTTTCCCTTTAATGGAAAAAAATACCCCAAATCCATGATTCTGAGAATTTGATCTTGTCCAGTTCAGCTGGATGACGTGTTTTTACTGAGGGTTTTTGCTTTTGTAAAAGGAAGCACTGATGCTGGCAAATTCACGGCCTTTGTGCCACCTTCTTGAATCCGTTTTCCTTTTCTCTGAAGGTGCTCTGCTGGAAAAGAAGGTGGAAATGGACAAGCGTGGAATGGGAGTGACCGACTATAATGGAATGGTCACCAAACCCCTTGGCTGCCGCCCACCACCAATCTCCAAAGAGTCTTCCATGGACCGCCCCACCTTCCTTGACAAGGTAGGTTCAGAAGTGTGAGTGTGGTACACAGGTTAAGGCTGTACAGTGGAGAAATACCATTGAGTGCTACTGAATGCTTCAGGGTTTTAGGGAAGTCAGGAATGAGGAGCTGAGGTATTTTTAAGTCAAAGAGCAGACAGTCGTAAACAGCTTCTCAGATGAGCTTCCTTTCCTGTGGTCACATACAAATTTTCCAGCACTGTGCAATGAATGAGGAGGGTTCAGGCCTTAGTGGTGTCCAAGATTCAAAGTGCCTAAAGAACAGAATGTAGGGAGAAGTGCAGCCAGATCTTCAGTAGGAAATGGGAGTGACAGCCTGACGCAGTGCCCTGCAAATAACTCACCAAAACACCTCCCACCCAAAACTGTTCATCAGGAGTGAGCATTCTGTGGTGCCAGTCTTTATTTCATGAGTTATTGGAAATGTCTGTAGAAGTTTATATTTTATTTCTCAGTTGCAGAAAGCAGTGCATTTTTTACGAGCTGTGCTGAAAGCAGCTCATTTTACATAAGCTATTTAGAGGATGTGAGACAGGAATGATACCTACTCTTGTTAACAGACTGTATTAAAACCTTTATTGACCAGGAATAATCATTCTTTCCAATTGTCCACCCTTCTTACAGTCTTAAGTATAGCATTATGGTTGAAGTTAAGGTGTGAGCTGTGACAGATCCCATGTATTGTATTAAGAAGATCAGCACAGCAGTGCACTAGGACACTAGGCATCACTGTGTGTCCATCATAGCCTTGCTCCCTAACATGTCAGGCTTTACCTGGCTCTTCTTCTCTTCCTGCCACTTGAAATTCATCCTTAACAATAACCAACTATTTGTTTGTGTCCAGCCTCAATGAGTGTGTTAATTGAAAGATCCCTCTCATCATGGAGGTCACAGAATTAGTGCATGCGTGCCAGCTAGCCTTTTCTTCTCTTGAATAGCAATATCTTGTGCAGTAAATTTATTGCAGAAGGGAGGGGTGTGTTATGTGCAGCGTAACACATAATTATGGAAACATATGTTAAACACAGGTATTGAGAAGGGAGTACTAGAATGATTAGTATTCATACAGCAAGTAAAATCTGTCAGTCTAGGCATAATCTGTCACAGTGACTTCAATATGACAGAGGAAATAATCCCAAACTGTATTTGTTAGTGTTGAGCAACTTGCTAAGTGAATTAAACAAATAACGGCTTCTTCACTAAGAACAGATTTTTTTCCCTATGATATTCTCTCTGTATTTACATCTCATGACACTGGAGTAGCTCTTCTCCAGAGCCTTTTTGTCCTTCAGGTTAATGCTTCAGAGCACAAACCTGGAGCTGCCTCTCTTTCTGATCAGGTCATCGTTTCCGTGGTTGGTGCCACAGCTGCACAAAGCAATCTGGCTGACATTCCTCATTTTACCTGTTGTCTTGCCCTTATCCTTTTCCTCAGCTTTAGTGATGGCTTTATCTAGCTTTAGTGATGAACTTCCATGAGTTATGCAGGGTTCTTCTTCAGGAAGTTGTAAGCTAGGTTACTGTGCTCACTGCTGCCTCAGTCAGCTGATTGTGTCAGCACTTAACTCGTATTCTTCATTCTGTGTCAGTCTTTGGCACACAGTGCTTTGTTAATTGCATTGCTTTTTCAGGATATTATCTTATCTTGCTCTGTAACACCATAAAAAGAGAAAGGAGAAAATCCAGTGGCTTTGAGAAAACAAACATCCAGCCTAGCAGTACCCCGATACGTGATCTCAACCATATTACCTTATACTTGGTGGCAAGCATGCTGTGCTTAGGCATCAGGTTTGCTTGAAGATGTTATGTGATGTCTTCTGGAGACATCAGATTTGTAAGAAATGCATGTAAGGTGCTCCTGGCAGCATCCTGGAGGACAGCAGAAATGAGCCTCGTGTGTTTCATTGGCTCTTTTCTGAAACTTTTCTGGGCTCAGGTACCGCTCTGGAGCACTAGAGCTCAAGTTTGGTGTGTTTTATTTTGTCATTTACTTTGATCCTCTACCTTCTTTTTTTTTATGCTTTTCCACATATCACCAGCATAGAATCCTGTCTTCCTTGGCCTGGTGCTGCTTGCAAATATCCTCCCAAATTCTTGAGCATGTAGGAAATCCTCTCCTTGAAAATTAAGCCCCTCTTTCACTGTTGTTTTGGTCTTCAATCTGCTTTTTTTCTCTGTTGTTGAGGTGTAAAAGTCTTGGTGGTTGTTCACTGCCATCATGGTTTTCCACAAACACTCTACTTGCCTGCACTATTCTCTTGTTTCTAATACAAATATAGTGTTGGATTTTTTTCCAGCCAGTTCCTCACATTCTGGTCCCACTTGTCATTCCCAAGAGTCAGTTTTTTTTGCCTTTGGGATAGCAGATGAGGTACTTCATCCTTATACAGGACTGCTTTTTGAGGTCCTTCATTCATGAGGTGACAGTTGTTGTGGGCACGTGACTGCCCAGGGACCCAGGAATCCTCTGCTAAATTGTCCATAGCTCGTAGCACCAAAATGTCTTAACAGTGCTTGCATTCTGTCATATCTAGTACATGGAACTGTTGTGAGAGACCTTCCAGTGTCCTGAAAGTAGTGTTTTGTTGGGCATAAGGATGGTGCATTTTGTTCAATAAATGTAGAAGGAAATACTGCCTCTGGTAGCATTGTGCAGCTGTGTCAAGTCCTTTCCATGAAGCTAAATGCAGTGAAGGTATCACCTGGTCTGGATTGAGAGTGACTGAATACTTGATGTGAAATGAATTGATTTCGGCCCCAGCTGTAGGGCACAGAGTTGTGCAGCAGTCTGCCTCTTGCATTGAGTTAAATTCAGAAAATCAAACCCGAGTGAATGCAAACAGTGTGTTAGAAACAAAACCAAAGACACGAGCTGTAGGTCAGCCAGAGAACACGCTCAAGGTGACGGTGGTCTAGAGCAGAACAGAGCAGAAATCAGATGCCCAAATCTCTGGCATGGCTGTTCTCCACCTCCCCCAGCAGTGCCTCATTCCAGAAGGAGGAAAAAGAATATCAGTGAGACAATATTTGAGTAATCTGGGGCATGGGAAGGGATTGCATTGGTCTCTTTTGGTCAGTAGTTCTGTTCACAAAGGAAACAATGGCACCTGGAAGAGAGTGCACACAGAGCTTGAAATGGTTTTCACTTTAAAGAGAGAGCGGCAGAATTGGAAACACGTGTCTGTGATCAGAGCAGAAATCCTTGAACCTGTTACTGTCATGCAGGCTGCAGTTGTTTGTAGAGTGTGACTGATGTCCAGTAGAATGTAAAATATCTTGAGCTGAAAGGCCTTGGGGATATCATTAGAAAATGTCAGTGTCCCCCTAGGACAGTCAGATAGCATGTCAAGTGTCAGTGTGCCTGATAGCAGAGAAACTTTCTTTGCATCAAAGGAGAACTGTTGAAAATGCATTTCTCAAGATTATCTTAGGAAGTGAAATTTCCTGAGATCCGTGCTGCATGAGGTCGTTTGTTTGGGTATCTGCTATGAGGACAGGGCTGCTTTGCTAACAAAGGAGGATTGGATTTAATGACTGATCTAACCTAACTCCCCACCTGTACAAAGGCCTTTCTTTGCACTGAAAACATTGCTTGAAAAACACCAGTCTGGTACACTGCAAATGAAAGGGCTTTGCCCTCTGCCTGCTTTTGGAGCCGTGCTTTGTACACCAGCACTGTTTGATGGTGCCTGCTGCAGGCTGCCCACACATCAAAGCCCAGCATGAGAGAGAGCTGAGTGCCCCACCACAGTGCTGCCCACAGTGCTACCTGCTAGACTGGGGATGATGGGATGTGCTGTATTTTCTGCTGTGCTGTCTGCCCCCCACGGGGGCTGCTTTATGTGCATCACATCCGTGTTCAGCCCTGGTTCCCTGCAGCCCCGTTAGGAAAGGGGGCTCCTTATGTGCCTCCTCCTGGGGGTTTGGGCAGTGCCTTCATGGCTTTCCTAGCACGGCCACACAGACAACATTGTCAGCATTGGTTTTAAGTATCTGTGCTCCGTGGGTGCGGTAGAGTTTCAGAGTGGATATTAATAAGTCACCGCTCTGAGAATATTGAAAGAGGCTCGTGTGTCTGAGTTAGGAGAGGGGATTAATGCAAAAATGTTTTCTTACAAACAGAGCTGTGATGTGGAACCAAATGCAGGCTGGTGTCAGATTCACGTATCGAGCCTGTCAGGGTTAGCAGGAGCATTGCACTGCCTGTCTGTGCTCTGCTTTTAATGCAGACCTCCCCAAACCCTGTGAGGTCTCTCCCCATCCCAGCGTTAGCGAGGGGCTGCCTGGGGCTCTGGATGGCTCGAGCCTCCTTTCCTGCTGGGAGGTGGAAGAGGGTGGTTGTGCATTTGTGGATTAAGTGCGACAAAGTAAAGAAAAACAGTACCTTAATGCTGTTTCTCTTTCTCTTCTTCCTTCACCCCATGCTTTTCATTCCCATCATTCATACCTCTTTTTTTTTTTTTTAATATACACCCATTTTTGTTTTTTTTTACTCATCCACGCCCCTTTATATTCTCATGGGCAACTGTTCTGTGTGCTGCTCACTCCTGGGCACTGCACGCAGCTCACCCTTTCTTTCTCCAATCAGGATGGCGGCCTAGTGGAAGAGCCCACTACTTCACCATTTTTGCCTTCACCAAGCCTGAAGCTCCCCCTTTCAAACAGTGCACTCCCTAATCAGACCCTGGGCGGGATTGCCTCAGGGCTGGGCATGCAAAACTTGAATTCTTCTCGACAGGTAAGGCTGTTCAGAGAGGTCACAGCTTGAGTTGCAGTGCTCAGACTCGCAGCTTGCACCTGTCCCTTCCCCTTGGAAATGGGGCTTTGAACTGAAAATGCACACAAACTCTTTGTTCACTTGAAATACCAGTGAAGAAGCTACCTGCTGTGTAAACATTTCATGTTATTGGACATAAAACAACTGCTTGGTTGTAATTAGCCTACTAATTACACGCATGCATTGAGAAGACGCTGTAGTGTTATGGATTTATACCAGCAAACCCCGATGTAGCTCAGCCTTGATTGATGTGAGGTTTCTTTTTTGAGGCACTGCTAATTGTCACAGACTTTAAGACAGAGACATTGCTCTGATTCATCCTTCCTGGCTGGAGTAATTATTCAGTGATGAGATGGGTGAGAAGTGATGCGGTTTTATTTATTCATGTCATAAATGTCAAGGCAGCTCACAACTTTGACAGGTGGTAGGAAAGGAGCCGAGCTTTTTCTGGTCAAATGCAGCATCGTGCAGGAGGGAAGTTTTGGCCCCTGGGTAGAACTGAAAGGACAGGAGAAGGGAGAGGAGGTGAAGGGGAAGATTCGTAAACACAACGAGATGGAGAGGTCATGGACTGCTCTTGTTTGTGTGGAAGTTAATTTTGCCATATAAATTGAAGTACTAGTTACAATAAGAAAAGAAATATATATATACATATATTGTTCTGTTGTGGCTTCTATTGTGCATATTCTAAGTTAGTTTTCTAAAGGCAGTACTTGTTCAGCACTTACAACCCATTACGCATATCAGAAGAGGAGGCATCTCTAATAGCACATCTATTATCAGTGGGTTTGTAAAATGAATATGTATAAAAACTTCTAGATAACGTAATGGTTAGAACATGAGTTCAATTACTTCATTATCCTGTTTTCTTGCATAAATACAAATATTTTTGTGAGTACTTTTCACTCTTCATCTTGTGACCTCCAGCCTTATGCATCCTTATAAAAGAGATCTTCACCTTCAGCTGCCTTTTGTTCTGACACCTGTACAAAGTTCTGGCAGGTTTGGGGTGTTGTTGGATGTATGGCAGTGCTTTCAGTGCCTGATTCTGAGCCTTATTATCAGCAAGGCTTCTCCCAGAACAGTCCTGGATTCTTTATCTGTGCCAGTCACAGTCGCTGGGGATAAAGGCTGCACGGATAAGGAACTCTGAGCTTCTATGTTGAGTGAAGCGTTTCAGGGCCGATGTCTTTCTTGTCCCGTTCAGATACCGAGTGGCAATCTGGGTATGTTTGGCAATAGCGGAGCAGCACAAGCCAGGACCATGCAACAGCCGCAGCAACCGCCAGTGCAACCTCTTAATTCATCCCAGCCTAGTCTTCGTGCTCAAGTGCCTCAGTTTCTATCCCCTCAGGTGAGATGGAACTTCCAGTCTTATGTTCTCCCTTTTCCTGGAATTCTCCCGCGTGCTTTCTCCCCTGCACACTCTGTGATGATCCTGAGGCTCTGCAGCCATTAAGCATGTTACATGGTGAAATGTTCTTCCCTGGGTGCTCTGTTATCTGTGTATGCAGATTCTCTCGCTCCTTTTTGCAAAAGGCAGTGTTCCTAGAAAGCTGAGGACTTTATTCTCTTTTTTCTTTTACTTTCTGTAAATACACGTGTGAGTGTTGTTACTAAAACCTACTTAGAGCCTACTGGTAATTTTTTTAATGATTTATTACACAATTATACAATAGTAATATTATTCACCTGATGCCCTGTGACACTTTCTTACATCTTACACAGCTACCAGTGTTAAAAGTGAATATACAGTGCTTAATACACTGCTCTTCCTTAGGTTCAAGCACAGCTTTTGCAGTTTGCAGCAAAAAACATTGGTCTCAACCCTGCACTATTAACCTCGCCAATTAATCCTCAGCATATGACGATGTTGAACCAGCTCTATCAGCTGCAGCTGGTAAGTGTGAAAACCTGGCAAGTAAGCTCTAAATGTGAACGGAAGGCATGAAGGTAAAATGGGAGAATAGCAACTAAATCTTTAAATGGACATGGCAGATATTTAAAGCAATTAGATAGTGATTTCCTTGGAAAGAAACAAAACCATGGTTTTTGCCTCAGGCTTTGTGGAATAATTATCCTTTACAGCATATCAGGGGAACTAAAAAGTCTTGTTGCAACTGTATATTATCAAACAGCACTAAATCTGCCTGTTACAGTCAAACATGTGCAACTCATTGACCAACTGGGAAATTAGTGTCACAACATAACAAGACAGAAACCTTGGCAACTCACCTGAGTTATGTAAGAACTGCATTCATTACCTCAGTAAACAATAAAGTGAGTGGTGCATTTCTTGTTATTAATGGTGTGAACGTTGATCACGCTGCAAGGACTGCTTGCTTTTGGAAAATTGTGTATCTTTGCTACATTTGCAAATATATGTTTTATTTAATCACGTATTATGGGTCTCTTTAAAAGTTATATTCTGTGCCAGCAGTTCGTTAGTGTTTGCTTGTATTAAATATATAAAATTGTGGTTGACAGACCACCTTCATTACTGATGTCATGTGCTAGTCTAACTCTTCTCTTAGTAACAAGATTTGGTATTTCATGTCTGACCATATGTCCCAGTTTTGAGAAGCACAGCTCTGATCTCATGCCATGACATTGGTTGGACAGTACAAAGCTACTTGGGAAATACCTGTACAGAACTCCTTTGGATTTCGAATTCAGATGATTCAGGGAAATTATACCTTGCCCAGTGAATGCCATTAAAGTTATGGGATTTTTCTGGAGTAAAGTCACACAGCTGATGAAATGCAATGTGCTATCAGAATAAAAAGGCTAATACAAAATAACTGTTGATATTTACCCAATTTGGATAACTTTATAATCTTTTATTTTGTCCTTTGTTAGGCACATTTTTCAGAAGGAAAGCACGTTCCTATGTTGAATGAATCCATATTGCTGGTGAACTTACTGAGTAGCCTGTTTGATTTAAAGAGAAACAGTGCTGAACTTAAATGCATTCTGTAATACGTTCTTAACAAGATCGTTACATTTGCTTCGTTGTGTGTTTTCAGAAAACTCCAATGCTTCTTCCCTATTGTGTATCATACCAGATCAGCTCAGGCAAGTTTGTTAGGGTTCTTGTATATGTTAGAGTCTCTGACCTCTGGTTTCCGTCCCGTAGGCGTACCAACGTTTACAAATCCAGCAGCAGATGTTACAGGCTCAGCGTAATGTTTCCGGACCCATGAGACAACAGGAGCAGCAAGTAGGTTTGGCTGCCAATTCAATTCCATCATCAGAGTTTGGCTTGAAAAGCTTAAAGAGATTGAACATGATACCAAACCAGTTAGAGCTTCCTTAGGAACAGTAATATAGTGCATGGCTTGAGTACTGGGAGGCGAAGAGTGCTGGGGGGATAAAGCTACTTACTTCACAGCACTCAGTTATTGGAGGAAAGCTCTTCAGCACTTAATTCAGTCAATTTTTATTTGTAAAGGGATCTATCTAAGGGTAGAGAAAGGCATAAGAAATCTTAAGTCATTGCGAATTGAGCAGTTACTGATCTGTTCTCTTTTGTTGCCAGGTTGCACGTACAATCAATAACATGCAGCAGCAGATCCAGCAGCACCAGCGCCAGCTGGCCCAGGCCCTGCTTATGAAGCAGCAGCCTCCCCCTCCACATCTATCTTTGCACCCCTCTGCAGGCAAATCAGCCATGGATAGCTTTTCACCCCATCCCCAGGCTCCCGGCCTTCCTGACCTGCAGACCAAAGAGCAACAGTCTTCACCGAACACCTTTGCTCCTTACCCCCTTGGTATGTGTTCCTCCTCAAAGCAGTTCCATATGCAGAAGGCAGAGGGAGTGTTTGTCATTATTTTATCCTCCAGCACGAGCTCTACAGTATAATAAATACAAAATAAATGTGTATTAAATATTGTTGAAATGCCTAAACAAAACTGTGGCTTTGATACCAGTGATCTGTATGCTTTGCAGAACAGAAGATTTTCTAATTACTCATCTAGGTACATAGCCCTGAATGTGAATTTAATACTAAAATCTAAAATGAACAAATATTATCTACGAACAGTCACTTGAAATCTCCTTTCCACTCTAATCAGCACTGGTGAATCATCAGCTTTGGTCAGTGTATTTCAAGACAGATCCAGATGGGTTTGATGGAATGCAGTGTTGTGGAGATGATTGGGTGTTTTGAAAACATGGCTGCTGAGTTTAGAATGCAATTGTTTGGCCAATTTAAAGGCATGATTCAAGAGACATCTTCAAAAACATAAAAGCTACCTTCAAGAAGTGGTACGTGCACGTTGTTAATGCAAGAAATAATCAACTTGTGTTGGATAAAAAGAGATCCTTAAACATTAAGAATCATTTATTTGCTCCATGGGAAGTAGGATACTGGAAAAAAATTGTCCAGGAAGTTCGTGAAATCTTCTTCACTGGGCATTTAGTGGTAGGTGATACACAGATCTGTGTCAAAAGAAATGTACTCAGAGCCTTGAGGTGGTGACAGAAAAACCCGAGACCTGTTCTTCATGACTGCGTATGCCATGGACTTTATGAAGTAGGGGAATTAATGTAATAATCTCTTTGTGCCTCTGTTCATGCTGTATATGATAGAATTGCCAAGCTTTATCTTCCATTCAGAAGTTAAGAAGGTGATTCTCACCACTATGGGGAGCTGTTACAGCAGGGAGCATCAGAAGGCAGAAGAATTTGCAGAGTGTGAGAGGTTCTTACCGTATCAGCTTCCTGAGATCTGCTAGCATGCAGGATTGTGTATCAAAAAGGGCCCAGATCTGTGTCACTGAAACAGATTAAAATGATTCCCTACTTATACATACACTTTCTGAAAACCATTGGGCTGGTTTTTTTCAATCTACTTCTGTGAATATATTCGCATAGTTGAATACCTGCTCCATGAAGAAGCAGCTCTCTGTGTTACCTTTGAGTCAATTACTTGAAGATCTTTTAAACGTTGCCAGCAAAACAGAGCAGCAGACATCACAGGAGGACGCTGGTGAGACATTCGGATACTTTGGCTCAGCAGTGGAATGTTGCAAATTCTTCACTGGTTTAAACTTAGCATTCCAGTGCATTCTTTGAGAATGCCTTTTGTGGGACAAGGAGAGAGACTGCAAGTAGAAATACCAACAGATAGAAAATATATCCCTAGCTTTTTTTTTTTTTTTTTTTTTTCTTTTTAGCAATACTTCAATATTTTCTGAATTCTTAGGGATGTTATTCTAAATTAATGTTCTGAGAGCAGATTGAAAACATGCATATTGAATCTCTGTACAAATGTCTAAAAAGACATATTTAATAATTCCTTTAGCTGGATTGGTAAGCAGAGACACCTTCTTAAATCCTCCGGTGTATCAGGGATGTCTAACGACCTGTTTTCCTTCAGCTGGACTGAACCCGAACATGAATGTAAATAACATGGACATTACTGGTGGTTTGTCAGTGAAGGACACTTCTCAGTCCCAGTCTCGCCTTCCTCAGTGGACACATCCCAACTCAATGGATAATCTGTCTAGTGCTGCTTCTTCTCTTGACCAGAACTCCAGCAAGCACGGTATGTCCCATTCAGTTTCCAGGTCGGTTTGGCTTTTTGGGATTTGAGTCACATTGCAATCATCAATCTTTTCCCATTTTGCTCATTTCTTTGAGTGCTGGTAAGTGGTACAGAGCACCCTTGAAGACATTTTTAAGATTTCTGTAGCCACGTTGAAATTCTTGCACATAGAACTTCTTACAGGCAGACCTTTCTGGTTCTTTCATTCAGGGAATTTTATTGCTGGGAACTTGGAGTTCAAATAAAACAAGCCATTAGTGTTTGCAGCATGTGCAAGTATTATGTTAGAACACGATGCTCTGTTAACTCTCGTATCCTGTTTTTTATTATAAGCAGCCTGAATTATTGCTCTTTCACAGTAGTTTCTTCTTTTGCAAAGAATAAACTGTAGATACTCTACTGCTTATGCCCAGTTGTCGATATTTCAAATCACAGAAACATGGAATGGCTTAGGTTGGAATGGGCCCTAAAGGTCATCTAGTTCTTCTCCCACTGTCTGCACATCTGGGATTGCCCCGAGCCCAGTGCAGCAGCACCTTTGCACATGGCCTTGTTGAACCTCATTAGGTTCTCATATGCCCACTTTCCAAGCCTGCTCAGGTCCCTCTGAGTGGTAACTCTTCCTTTCTGTTGTGTCAGCCACACCACTCAGCTTGGTGTCATCAGCAAAGTGCTGAGGGTGCACTTGATCCCACAGAGATGTTGAAGAGCAGCGGTCTCAAGATGGTTCCCTGTGGGTCCCCACTTGTAGCTGGCCTCCACTTGGACACAGAGCTGTTGACCACAGCTCTATGTGACCATCAACCCATCCCTGCTTCAACTGCCTGTACTTCTCCTTATCCCTCGGTTTGACCAGCAGGGCATTGCTCTGCTGTGCTGTCAGTAGCAAATACCTGGAAAGTGACAAGAAGGGGACGTGCCTGCAATGATATTCTGTAACATGCTGCCTCAGCAAATTCCTATTTACCATCACTATGATTATTTGAATTACTTACTCTCCTTCTGGCAGTAACCCGAGTTCCCTTGGCCAGCTTGAGAGTCTGGATCTTACCAGCCGTGTACTTCATAGGTATAATTCTTAGGTTTCAGAGGCTGTTGCTTATTGTGTTTATATTTTATCACTTACTGGTGAAATCCTGTCCCCCAAATTAGTCCAACTCCTAACCAAAGCCTTTCCATTTCATTCACTACAGGTGCTATTCCTGGAGGTTTGAGCATTGGTCCTCCAGGAAAGTCCTCCATTGATGACTCTTATGGCCGCTATGATCTGATTCAGAACAGTGAGTCGCCTGCCAGCCCACCTGTAGCTGTTCCTCACAGCTGGTCACGTGCCAAAACTGATAGTGATAAGATCTCCAATGGCTCCAGCATAAACTGGCCACCAGGTAACAAAATGCAGAGCGTTTGTGTTCATCTGATGTCATTAAAGTGCATTCTGCATTGCGTTTATTGAATCCCTGTGCCTGCTGATAGGAAGAATTAAACTTGGGAGAACTGTGACTTTATGTCTTGTTTTTATTATATTTGGAACAGAATTTCATCCAGGAGTGCCATGGAAAGGACTACAGAATATTGATCCTGAAAATGACCCTGATGTTACTCCTGGAAGTGTTCCAACAGGGCCTACCATAAACACCACGATACAGGATGTTAATCGCTATCTTCTCAAGAGTGGAGGTAAACACACGCATTACTTTCACATCTGTATTTACTTTCTTCTTTCCAACAAAGTTGACTTCCTATAATATGAGTGTAGGATGTTTTTTGCATGTAATCCTTATCTACAGAAGCCTCTGCTCTGAACTTTCACTCACAATCCACAAACACACGGTATGGGACTGTGACGTTTCTGGTTTTCCTTGGGAATGCAAATATTTTTATGTTGAGAAGGGGCTGCAAGATGTAACATAAACTTTTGTGGTCACTGGAAGTTTTTATAACATATATAATTCCTACCAATTTGTTTTGAACAAGATTCTTCTCTCCCTTCTGACCAAGCCCCTGCACTTCAGGAAATACATAAGAAGTCACAGTAAAAAACGTTCCTCAGCTGTGGAGGCAGCAGGCTTCTGTCACATGTAATTGTGGCTTTGTTAGGAGATCACTCGGGAACATAAATTAGAGCTGTTCTATCCCCAAAACCATCAAAGAGAAAGAAAAGGGGAAAAAAGAAACCAACAGGATTAACTTGTAAACTACAGTTTCTCAGTGCTATTTCCATTCCCTTTGTCTTGGCAGACAGAACTAGAAGTATTCTGTAAGAGAACAATAAACCACTGGGACTATGCAGCTTACTAGCTGGATGTACTGGAGGGGGATCGTAGGAAAGATGGCTCGGTTTAATTGTGATCAGTGTGCCTTAATAGGCAAGTTCTGAATACTCTATTAAAATAAACACTATTATGGACAGGAGTATTATAATCAGGCTGTCAAGAAGGAGCTGTCAGGATTTGGTTATGGTAGATAGCTACGTCTGTGATACCTGCAAAGCTCCTAAGTCAGAATTCAGTCAGAAACTGGTTTCCAGCTCTGGAATGTGTTAGCTCAAGTGAAGGGATGTGAAATACGAGGGAGGAGGGTTTTCCACAGCCTTGAGTGATTTTGAGTTGCCTCTGAGATGTTCCTTGTGCAGGTCGTCTTTGCAGAATGTAGGTGTACATCAGCTCTGTATATAATCTGTCTGTGGAATGAAGAAATAGTTGCTCCACTTGTAGAGGGTCAATATAGATGGTCTTTGCAGAATAAACAGTCTGTTGGGGGACAAAACCCCATGAAAAGCAGTGGCTGCTGGGGGTCCATAATATGCTTCCTTACCCTGTTGGTTTTTATCTTGCTAAATAATGAATAATATAATTTTAATGCAAAGTGTAATTGCTGAGTTTGTTTCTTTATGCTCAGGTAACCTGGGTGTTTGTTTCTGTCCTTGCTGGTACTCCTTCAAACAAAATGAGGATTTTCATGACATCCTGCCAGGAAAAGGCTCTTGGAGTTCTGCATCTTGAATGTGGCGTTCACAGCTTGTATTAATAGAGCTGAAATCCCTACACAGGGTTAGACTGTGGCTGCTACACTGAACAGTTAGGCAGCACCAAAGTGTTGGGTTTGGTGGTTGTTTTGCCCTGGTTTTTAATGATGCTTTAGTCATGGGCAGCCAGGGCTGCTTTCAGCTCTTTGGGCAAATGGGGCTCTGAATGTAGTGTAATTTCTTGACCCCCAGCCTTCCGCAGGGATGTCTGTGTGGGGAGTAGATGATTTCCAGAGAGGGTCTTAATAGGGAGTCATTTTGCATGAGTCTGATGTCCGTATGTGTATCTCAAGGAGCACAGTGAGTCTGGATAAGGTGAGGTTGCATTGGTTTCTGTTCCAGTTGAGTATTCGTAGCCCTTTGGACTTTGGTTGATCTGTGAGGGTCAAGATTGCCCTTTAATTTCCTCTGTTCTGCCCCAGTGGACCACTTTGTCTTCTTCCAAAGAGCTCTCCTGTCTTTCTTAGTCAGGTAAAGATGTTTCAGTATCACAGTGCACCTGCATATGTCAGGAATGATAAGTCACCTGGGATACATACTTAATTTTGTTGCTGGCTAGAGAGAATATCTGCACTTCTTCTGGTCTTTATAATGAACATATTTTATTTTATGTTCAGTTTCTTTCATTTACTGCCAGGAAGGAAATTGTGTGTATGCTTAGATAGCTGCTCAGATTGTAAATGATTTACCAAGATGGTTTCAGGCTATTTTGTTTAATGTTATTAGTTTGAGAAGAGTTTGCTAAAATATATCCTTGCTTTACTGAAAGTCTGCAAAAATCTAAAGATGTTTGTGGGCATTAGAATATAGGAGAAGTGCTTACCTCAAGTAATTTAGGACGAATCACCCGTGGTAAGAGGTTAGTTTATCATACACATTTATGTTCATCTGTAGTTGTCATTGCTCAAGTCAGCCAGTGAAGCACCCTCGTAAATGGAGCCTGTTCCTCGAGTCTGAACAGTTTAATGCTGATTTTTTTTTAGTTGTGTGTCTTAAAGGAAATGCAGAATTTATCTTCTGCACAGGCACTAATACATGTACTGCCGTGCCAACTTTCTTTTCTCTTCTACTAAAGACTTCTGCTTCCCTTTCTCATGCTTTCTGTAACATTTCATTCCTAGACTTCAGAGACCAGGCTGATTAAGGAAAATGCCTTGCATGGTTTGTATTTGCACATAATAGATTTGCTTATGTCACACCAAACACCATTATGCCCATCTTTCTTAGTTGCTTCTCTGCTGGTTCTGCAGGGTCATCCCCAACATCATCTCAGAATGCCACGCTGCCTTCATCGAGTGCCTGGCCGCTTAGTGCCTCCGGCTACAGTAGCTCTTTCAGCAGCATTGCATCCGCACCTAGCATTGCAGGTACGAAAATGGCCTTTCTACTTTCACATTTCTCTGCATTCTGAGAAAAAAAAAGGCCCTAGAAAGTGCTGTCTGTGGTATTACAGTAGTGCTGCTATAGGCAGAAGCACGCTTTGTAGTCCTGCGCGAGGTAGGCAGCATTTCTGGAGGCTCAGTTGGGGGGCACTGTATGGTATGCCTGGAGGTGTGCTAAGGAAAATGTATTTGTTCCACTTGATGCCAAATGCCATTGCTCTGTGTTGGCATTCAGGTGTCTTAATCTATTTCCATTGCAACTTCGCAGAGGAACATTCTGTTCTCCAGCAACAGAGTTACTGCCAAGGTCCTACATCCTTCAGTGAGAGCTGATGTGATTTTTTTGTTCACAAATTTGCTGCTAACTGTAAAATATCTTCAGCTCGGGAGAAAGTTTGGTTGTACCTCAAGGAGAATGCTCTGCCTGGGAATGGGGGTTGGAGTTGGGGCTCTGTCTGTCGAGGAAAGCTTCCTCAAGAGTAAATGCTCTTAATGTGTTCCCTTCCTTAAGGAGAAATAAACGAGTAATACATTCTGAGCTTTTTCTCCTTGCAAATAATAGAAAACTGGCTATGTAAATATCCTATTTGTTCCATTATAAAAACGTGTAGGGTCCATTGCATGGATGGTATTACCATTTTCATGTCTAATTAGTGAAGAATCTCCTTTGAGCAAACGAAGCCACAGCCTCCCGAGGCATCATGCAGGTTGCAAAGCAAGAAAAGTTCTGTTTGAAATGCTTTGCTTCACTGAAAGGAAAAAGGATGGCTTGCTTTCTTGTATGTGCCATGCATTCCTGCTCTGTTTACTTGTATTTTTTGCAGTCTCATCTAATCTTTGTGTTAACCCTATGAGAATTAGTGACATAGCAACATCTAACCTGTGCATGCATCGTGTGCTGTGTTGCAGGCTGAGCTGCTCTGAGTTCTAAAACTCAGACTTTCCTCCTTAACCACCACGTTTTTCCCCCCTTGTTAATGTCACCATCGTCATGCTTCAATTATTTTTGTCGCTACAACTCGCAAGAAGTGGGAGTGTGCTTACTCTTCCACTTAAATTCCTGTGATTCAATATGAAATCATGGAGCTAGATGATAAACAGAGGCAGTTTTGAGATTGTATGTAACAGAGGCTGTGATTTGGTGACTGGTAAATTGATGCTAGGGCTCCTAACACAAAAGCTTCTACAACTACCTGCCACACAGGTGAATAAGGGATCTTGGTTCAGCATCTTCATCTTCAGTCAGGTTTGTGCAACTCACTGCTGAACACGACTGCTTATTCTTAGCTTTGTTTTAATGACTTTATAAAGCTCTGATGGGACAGGAATGGTACTGAAGTAGTTTAAAAACTGATAGGAGAAGTAAACTAAGCAGTGAGAAGTTACAGATTGTGATCTGCTCCACTCTCCTGGAGGCTTCCACGTCATGTATGTTATTTGAATGTTCAGAGACACAATTTGTATTGGTCTTTGATCTTTGAAATGTTCATAGCATATGAGAAGAACGTATGGAAATGCTGCTTTACAGTATATAAAATGAGTTGCACAGAAAAAGAAAGTGGTTACGTTCTGTTAAACCTTTGAAAGATAATCTTTAAGGCTTTCATTGTAATTTTGATGAAATGAGATTTCAAATACTTAAGCCCATTTTTTGTTTTTGGGGTTCTTTTTTTTTAGTCACGTCATCTTTTACTGAAAAGCAAGACAGGTATTCTTAAAAGGGGAATTGTGCACATAGGTGATGTTAAATCAGCAAATAGAAAATTCTTTGAAAATGTAAATCCCAGTGTAAGGAGGTTATATGTGTGCAGGATTTGTAGCAGTGAGTTGGCAACAGAGTGCTGTTTCATCTCTTGGAAAGTGGGAGTAATACAGCAGTGCAGAAGCTTGATTACTGTTTGGTTTAACCATTGGTGCTAATTGAAAACACACAAATCTCTTATTTTCTGTTGCAGGTAAACTGTCAGACATCAAGTCTACGTGGTCCTCCGGCCCAATCTCCCACACACAAGCCTCTCTGTCCCATGAACTATGGAAGGTACCCAGAAACACTACTGCTCCTACCAGACCACCTCCGGGCTTAACCAACACCAAGCCATCATCGACGTGGGGTGCCAGTCCCCTGGGCTGGACCAGCTCTTACTCCTCTGGTACTCCTGGCTTCTGTCTTTCATAGCACCACAGCAGCTTCCTTTTGTAATTGTTGGTTGGTTTTCTGTCTCACTGTAGTGAAATGCCCCATGGGTGGTGCATGGCACGTGTGAGCCGTGTAGGGCCTGATGGCATTGCAGGGCCCTCAAGGAGCGCTGTAGTACTTTGTGCAGACTTTTTTTTATTGTCTTGCTTAAATACAATGAGAAACAGTGATCTTAGCGATAGAAGCATGCACATCATGTTTATTAGTGAAATATTGACAGCTTCAAAAGTAAGCATTGCACCTAATATATCTGGCTGACTATTTTATTGATCTGCTTCCAGTAAGCTGGAAATTAAATGTTCTTCCCTCTTCTTACCATTTATTTTGTCCATTTTCTTCACCAAAACCCCACCTGGTGGTCAGACACTGTTAGTGCCACAGCTCCCTCTGAACACTGCTCACCCATGTGGCTACACAAGTACTGCAGTTTCCCAAATGCCACCAATAAACATCCAGCTTGTCCAGTTTCTCATTGTAGAACACACCATGCTGAAGCTGGAAGAGCAGATTTTGCTGCTGGTTATGCCCTTGTATCTTCAATTGGAGCACAACCAGTGCTTGTTGTGATTCACCATCAGTTTCCTTGCTGTTTATGCTTATTGCATGGTGGTGAAATGTTTTGTTGTGGAATTTGTGTTGCAGGTTCTGCATGGAGTACTGACAGCTCAGGGAGGACAAGCAGCTGGCTGGTTCTTCGTAACCTCACGCCTCAGGTGAATGGAACTGCATGCAGTGAGATGTGCAAAGCAACTTGCCGTGTGCAGGAGACAATAAGGCTTATCACTTGGGCTGATTTGGCTCATTTGAAGGGAAAATAATTATTCTGTGTATGTTACAATTTCCTGTCTTCTGCAGGGAGTCTGTTAGGTTTTTAAAGTGCTGTCAAATGAAGTAAGAGCTTTAAGCTCTGCAGTTAGCTGTTCAGCATGCACCATCTCTGTATGTGTAAGTTTGGAGGTGAATGATGTCTTAAGGCAGATTCAGAGGTGTGAAATCTGCATCTCCTGTGGGGTTTCGTCTTTCTTCTGAATCAGTCAAACCCTCCAGTCTTCCCCATGGTATCATTCACAAGGAAGGACGTGAGCTACAAAGCATCCAAAGTGATCTTGGGGAAAATTGATTTAATTTATGAGCCGTGTGGTTTTTTCTTTAACTCACTGGTAGACTTCTAATGATAGCTGTAGTTTGTATCACACGAATGGGGAAGTGCTGTGCACTGGACTTCAGACAGGTCTTCAGAAGTGAGAAGTCTCTCATGAAATTCTTCTTACGGAGGACAAACTTCCTTTCACATCTGCTTACTCTTAGCTTACAAACTTGTTCAGCCAGCAGGCATTTAAAGTGAGATCACAAAACCACAGGTAACCTTTTCCCCTTCTCTCTGACCAGATTGATGGTTCCACACTGCGGACACTGTGTTTGCAGCATGGCCCTCTGATAACATTCCACCTGAACCTGACACAAGGGAATGCTGTGGTCCGATACAGTTCCAAGGAAGAAGCAGCCAAGGCCCAAAAGTCTCTGCATATGTATGTTTCTGTTCTGTTTTTCTTCTGTTACAAAGCCTGTTTTATCTAGGAACCCACTTTTTTAAGCAAGAAAATGGGCTTCTTTAGCTGTATGGGGCTAATAGATACAGGATGCAAGAGTTGGAGAATTTGAGTGATATAATCAGTGGCATTTAGGAGGATTAAAAATAGGAAGAATACAAAGACTGATGTTTCAAAAGAACACTTATGTGCTTAGAGTTAGAAGGGAATTTTCTTTATCAACAGTTTGTAGCACAAGTGTGATTAAAAGCACTGATTGTAGAGGAAATATCATTTGCTCCATGACCAAATGATAAGGGAGGACCGTTTCCTTAATGAAATGTTACGAAGCCGCATTCCGTAATCAGAGAAGTAACATCACCCCATCTTAGTTCTATCAGTTTAGATGTGTGCATCAGGTAAGAGAAATGATGCCAGTAGCAAAATTGATAGCTGATTTTGAAGATGAGTGCTTATATTAAAAATACATGCAGTAAGGTCCTTACATTATCAGTGATTTGGAAGGCTTCCATGTAATTGTGTTTTTAATAGGCTATGGCATACCTATGGTTATCCTGCTGGCAAGGACAGGCCTGCCCTTTCTGAGTGACAGGGGCTTAGCAGTCTGTGCAGTTGGTTTGCTGGCAGGGTGACAGTGGCAAAATACAGTGGGATTTTTGGAAGCCAGCAAGTCGGTATTGGGGTGCCAAAAGGTGCCATAGAATTACAGAAATACAGAATTGTTGGATTGGAAGGGACCTTAAAGATTATCTTGTTCCAACCTCTGCTGTGGGCTGGAAGGTCCATCACATGGTGGGCAGGCTCAGATTGATCTCTGCCATTGGATTAGGCATGGGTCGGTTTGCTCACTCCATCCCCAGTTATGTGCTTAGCTTTGTTTTTGAAGTGAGGATCAGCAGTGAATAAATACTTTTTCAAAACGGATTTTAAATTCTGTGAAAAATCATTCCTTAAGTAGAGTGCAGACTGCCTCCTGTGGAGGATGTTGGATAACTGAGGTGGGCACCGCACAGCTGGCTTTGTGTTTCATAGAGTCATAGAATGGCTTGGGTTGGAAGGGACCTCAGAGGTCATCAAGCTCCAACCCCCTGCCCCATTCAGGGCCACCAACCTCCACTTTTAATATTAGACCAGGCTGCCCAGGGCCCCATCCAACCTGGCCTCGCATACCTCCAGGGATGGGGCATCCACATGCCTTTGCCTGGGTTAGACAGCTAAATAGGAGACAGTAGAGAGAAGATGGCGTAGCGATGGGACAAGGAGCAATGGCCTCAAACTTGAACAGAAGCAGTTCTGTACTCTTTATGGTAGGGGTGATGGAGCACTGGGACAGGTCGCCCAGAGAGGTGGCGGAGTCTCCTTTGGAGATCTTCAAGGCCCGTCTGGATGCTGACCTGTGTGACTGCAGGGAGCCCTCTGTAAGCAGGGGGCTGGACTCAGTGATCTCTTGAGCTCCTGTCCAGCCTCTGTGATTCGGTGATTTACAGAAACCTGAGATATTTCCAGAAAGCCGCGCTGGTCCATTCAGTGGTTGATCCTCACAGGTCCCCACCGCGATCCTCCACCATTCCGAGCGCCCAGTCTCACATCACCCCGCCTTCTGTTCTCATCCCTAGGTGTGTCCTGGGTAACACTACCATCCTGGCCGAGTTCGCCGGCGAGGAGGAGGTGAACCGCTTCCTCGCGCAGGGCCAGCCGCTGCCTCCCACCTCCAGCTGGCAATCCAACGCCGGCAGCACGCAGCCGCGCCTGGGCTCAGCCGGCTCCCACGGGCTGGTGAGGGGCGACGCTGGGCACTGGAACAGCCCCTGCCTGGGGGGCAAGGGCAGCAGCGAGCTGCTGTGGGGCGGCGTGCCCCAGTACTCCAGCAGCCTCTGGGGACCCCCCAGCGCCGACGACGGGCGAGTGATCGGGAGCCCCACGCCTCTGAATACTCTTCTTCCGGGGGATCTTCTCAGCGGGGAGTCCATCTAGGAAGCGGAGAGGAACCGAGTGGAAATCACAATCATCAGCACTAAAGGAAATATAAAGTTGTAACCCTTTCCAGTCCCGGGCTTGATGAAGAATCCAGCTTTAACCGATCAGACTGGCAGCCCTTATTTTATTTTTTTTTTTTTGAGTTTTTATTTTTTTTAGTACCTCTGTCCAATATCGACTATGAAACTGCAGAAGTCCTTGTGAACTGTTAATGCAACAGTATGGGCTCCTTTTGGTCAGTGTCACGTGCTAACGACAGGTTATATTTTTTTTTCATGGCTTTTTGTTTTATGTCGTCTTTTTATGTTTGTATGGTGATTTTAAAAACAAACTATAAAAGCTGCTTAGAATAGGTCTATCATGAAGGGCACTTTTCAGAATTTGGGCTGGAAAGGGTTATTTTATCAGCTGGGGGGGGGGGGCAGGGGCGGGGGGAAGGGGAAATGAAAGCCTATTTAAAATGAGCCTGTGACTATTATGCACATTACCAGAGGCGGACCCAATAATCAGAAAGGGTGAAGTGTGATATTTACCATTGGTACAGACAAGTGATGAATCTGAATGGTAACTATGGACTGTACAGGTTGAAGGGGGAGGGGGGCGGGCTGGGGTATCTGTGTCCACTACTCCCATGGATCTGCCTATGCACATTACCCTCGTTTCATTACTTTTTCATGTCGTTTTTGTTAACCTCTCCCCCCCCCACCAAAAAAAAAAAAAAAAAAAAAAAAAAAAGGAAAAAAAAAAAAATATTTAAAAAAAAAAAACAAAAACAAAACAAAACGAAAAAAAAAAGAACATATCAAACATGCAAATACTTGAATCCAGCAGGCCAATAACAAAATGTGAACACTCGCTACGTCTGATGATTACACTTCCAGGTTGGCATCAGTACACCGAGACAACAGGCTCTAAGGATTTGTTTTTCAAGGTTCGGACGTTCTGTTTTTGTTTGAGATGTGAGTGTGAGTGTGAGAGCGTGAGTGTGAGTGAGTGCCTGCGCGTGGCTGAACTAAAAGCGTGTTCTCCTTTTATCCAGTATATGCTTTTGAGTTGCTCATTGGTCAAATGTTTAATTGTTATTAGCTTCTAACTTTGCACTGAGTGTCCGCAGCCCTTCTTGTAGCTCATCCTATAATGTAAAGAAAAAAAAAAAAAAAGAAAAAAAAAAAAAGAAAGAAACTGATAGAAGGGGCCGGCGACAATTCACGTGTAAATGTTTACTCAAGGACTCTTATCGCGTTTTAAAAATGACAGTGTGTATCTCTGGAGAATAATATGTATATCTACCTTGGGCGGCTTTTTATTGTGGACTAATGCAAGGAAACGATTCCCGGAGTATTGCACCGTTGTTCCATTTGGGATCTAAAGCTGAAGAAGAATCCTCTCCTTGAACTGTGGCCATAGATAATTGTAAAGAGCGGATGGTTCCCTTGCAAGCAGGAACAGAAACAAGCACTTGGACATGGGGTTTGACTGCTTTTGGAGGAGCCGGC